CGAAAGCCAGTGAATGTGAAGAAAAAACGAAGTAATGCAGCAACAGATTCTGATGCTGAATTTGAAGAGATGCTTCAAGAACACGAGTCAGAGAGACCAGAGGGAAGCAATTCAGAAAAACTAGAAGATGGTGATGGTAAAGAAAGATTAACATTGTTAGATTCAGACAAACATGAGTTTTTAGATTCTGAAAGACAGGAATTACTTGAAGCAGAGAGGCAAGATATGCTTGAAATAGAAAAACAAGAAATACTCAGTTCAGAAGTAGATGGCACAACCTCGATTCAGGAAGAACCCTCAGTTGAAGATGTTAAAGGGTCTTATTTACACCTAAATGCTATCAGACTAAGTGACACACACCAGCATGAGGACCCTCGGCAAGATCACCGACAGGAGCAGAAACACCACCATTACCAGCAGCAGTATCAGTTTGAAGCCTCTGCTGATCAGTCAACATCAGAAACTCATTCTGGAAAGAACAGCGAGTCGCTCTCTTTACAACATATTCCTATGGTGCAGCTACATGTTCACATGCCCCATAATTCATTACCTACTCATGTTCAGCAAACTCACATGCAGCAAAATCATGTTCATCAGTCAATTTCTCAACCTCAGAACCTTGTGCAGCCCCAAAACCTAACACAGTCCCAGAATATTGTACAGCCCCAAAACCTTGTCCAACCACAAAACCTTGTACAGCCACAAAATCTTGTTCAGCCTCAGAACTTAGTGCAGCCCCAGAATCTTGTTCAACCACAAAACCTTGTTCAACCACAGAATCTGTCTCAGTCAGAAAGCCTGAATCAACCACAAAATCTATCACAACCACAAAATCATTCTCAGCCTCATAATCTCTCACTATCTCAGAGTCTTTCTCAGCCACAAAATCTTTCTCTGGCTCCAAAACTAGTTCAGTCCCATAGCATGCATCAGCCCCAAAACTTGTCACAGCCCCAGAATCTTGCTCAGCCACAAAATTTATCCCAGCCACAAAATCTTTCTCAGTCCCACAGTCTGTCACAAACCCAGTCAATGTCACAACCACAGAATCTTTCTCAGTCACAAAATTTATCCCAGACTTCAAATATGTCTCAACCCCAAAATCTATCGCAGAATGATAATTTGTCTCAGCCCCAGAATCTCTCACAGCCTCAAAACCTTTCTCAGCCACAGAACTTAAGTCAAACACATGTTTCATTACAGGATCATTTAACGCAGCTAAACCAACCTCACCAGACCATACATATGGTTTACTATAACCCATAGAAAAGCAGATTTATTTCCATTTTGCATGTTCACTCTCATTTTTGGATTTTTTAAAGTAGATGTCTGCAGAAACAGTATGCTTACAAGTTAAAGATAACATCAGCTTCATGATCCAAATACAAGACTGTAGTGTATATATTCTATTTATTTACCACAGTGAACATCAATTAATTTAATTGCTTTGTCCTTCACTGAGACACTATTTCAGGATTTTGAAAGGACAAATTACTACATGATGAAAAATTGTGTTGCTTTGTTGTCTCGGGTTGGCTATTTATACAGAAAAATAAGAAATATATCAAACATTTTAAGGAATATTTGCTATTATGCAAAGGAAGAAAACATTAAATCAATAAACTTCATTTCTCATCACACTTTCATTCTTCATTTGTAAAATTCACATCATCATAAATGTGATACTTTGCACAAGATTGGACTTAATGTCTCAGTGGCTTGTCTGATTCTTTGCAGGAGGAAGTAAGAATTCCATGTAAGTGAATATTAGTTTTATATTGGTACCCAATGATATAGATTAATAGATGCTGAAATTGCATTTTCAGTGTTAGTGATTATGTAAAACAATTTATAAATAAAAAGGAAACATCCATTGCTTTGTTTATATGCTATACCTGTGGCATGAATGCTAGGGTATAGTTATTAATTTTATTTAAAAAAAAAACATAAATGAATCTTAGAAAATAATTTTTGTATGTGTCTTAGTGAGTGAGTGAGAGTGATATGCAAGCTCGATCTCACGACAAGAGGTCAAATGCAGGTGTCGAAGTTGCTGTTGTGCGTCAAGACGTAGCTAAAGCGCCGTTTATTTTGAAGGGCATTCAACCAAATAACGGTGGCACTGCCAAATAACCTGTCAATGAAATATTTAGGAGAGGCCTACGACCTGCCGTTGAATAATAGGCTGCGCGAGGAATGATGATGATACCTGTGGTCTTGTGCCGGAGGGCATTTCCCAACAGGTTGATTTGTGCCACTTGTGTTTTGTTGCAGCCGGACATTTTCCCTAATGGTGCTTCGATACATTTGTGGGTGGGAAATATCATCTTATTGGATATATCGCTTTAATATAGTACATATGTTCCTGACACTAATGATTGAAGTTTACACGATATTGTGCGAGGCCCCATCCAGTGAGTATTCATTCATACGGACATGCATTTACACAGAAATGAATGCATATCTGTCTATTTATATGATAGATAAATATTTACCTATC